GAGGGATTATTTACTGTTGTGTAATACTGCATAAATTATTGGACTTGATGCATGCCATGTTAGAAGCAATTAATCCATAGCGCTTGTGCTTAACTACACGTACGCATGCGTCAAGAATTAATTCATGTTTAAGAAAAGTGTTAATTAAATGTTTAATTGTTTGATATCAAGACCCTATACAAAATAAAAGTTGTGGCCAATGATTTACCCAAAATAATCGCGTTCGGTGTCCTTTGTGCCGGTGCAAGTCTTCATTCTGATCAATGATTGATCCAAGGTATGGGAAATCATTAATTATTTTAATTTCCTTGTCATCTAAGCTGATTTTATGTAACCCCCCCATGACCATTAGTTGTTGTGTGACTTCATGTAGTTTCTGACTTATGGCAACCCTATTATGGGGTTTTCTTGGCATGTTCCTTTGGGGGTGGGTGGGTTTGTTATTGCCATCCTATGAGGCTGAGACAGTATGACTTGCCAAGGGTCACCCTGTGGGTTTACGTGGCTGAGCAAGGATTCAAACCCTGATCTTCATAATCACAGTTCAAAGTGCTCAAACCACTACACCACACTGGCTTTTTTGGTCATTATTATTGTTTTCGCCTTTGCAGACTGCCAGAAATAGTGCACATTAAATTGAGGCACTGCCCTGGCTCAGTGCTAGGGAATCATGGGAACTGTAATTTATTGTGGCACCAGAGCTCTCTCTCACAGAGAAGCCTCAATGTCCCAGAAAAAAATACAGTTCCCATGATTCCCTAGCACTGAGCCAGGGCAGTGCCTCAATATAATGTGCACTATTTCTGGCAGTCTGCTTAGGCCTGTAAAAATGAAGTGTTCATGGAAAATGAAATGAGCTAGGCAGGAACAATTGAAACCATATAACAGTTTTAAAAACAGGAAAAAAAAAAAAACACCACCAAGTCAGAGAATGCTAACCACCCAGAGCCAGGCTTACAAAAATAAATAAATTAATTAATAAATAAATTTTTTTAAAGCTTATCCATACTGATTGAAAAGTTCAGATTTTGTTCATCTTCTTTCCAATTTTAAACCAGTTTGGGGAGTTCATGTAGAATTTCAATTTCCCCATCATCTAGGTTGAATTCATGTTAATCCTCCATGGTCATTATTTTTGTGATAATACCAAGAACTGACAGAAAACATTCTGAGATGAACAAAATTTATATGGATCTCCAAAATAAAATCAGAAAGAAGAGAATAAAACCAGGGACTTTCTGGTCTTTGTAATTGGTCTGGATGTGCCCTGAGATCAGCCCAGAAAGCTTGCTGGAGCCAAAATGCCTTCCAGCTAGACCTCTGCTTGGGCTATGGCTATCATGCTATATTTCTATGACATGGCCACAACTGGAGATGTAATGCTGGAATAAATTGTCCAAATGTCTGAATGATTAAGATAGGCCTTCATGAAAGAAAATCACGACAGTTAATGAGAAATTATCTTTAAGATTAACTGGCATTTGTGAGATGAGAAATTGGCCAGGCAACATTCTGGTTTCATATGTGTGTGTGTGTGTGTGTGTATCAAGGCCTAAGCCCCATTCTTTTCCTCTCCCCAACCAATTCTTGGAACTTTTGAAACTCTGCAGTTAATGCCTGAAGGCAAAAGTGAAGTTTCTTTGAGCTTCATTCCAAAAGAGCACATTACAAACAACAATAAAAGGTTTATTTCTGTGGGACTTAGAGAGGCACTGTGCATAATCATAACCTGAAATATCTTAGTGCATAATTGCTGAACTTAGATGTTTGTTCCGCTAGGGATGATTCTGAATTCTTAAGGACTCTTCAAACGCCATTCAGAATGCCATAAAACCCAAGAATGAGTTCAGAAAATTAGAAATGCTACAAAAGCCGAACGCTTTGCTGAGTACATTATAAAACAAATGAAGCCCGAGGGATATACCAGCACAGGGGTGAGGTTACATAGTTCATTTCTTCACTTGCCCAGGCACACACCACCCTCATAAACTTTCTGCCTGCAGCCATTATGTTCCTTAAAGGAAGACTGCACCCTTCCTTCCTAGACCCACAATCTAATGGTTCACTAGAGAGCCAAGGATCTGTTTGGCTTAATAAATGTTTTAATTACAGTTTTTGTTTCCTAAGCTTCACGGTAGAGAAAGAGGCCACTGCCTTGATATGTGGGGTATTTGAAGAGACAATATTGGGAGAGCTCAGTAGTAGATGCTGCACAGTGGGTTGCATTGCTTCTGTTGAGATGGTAATTGAAAAGCAAATATTGTCCTTCAAATATCCACTTTATTGTTATTAGCACAGATTGAAAATGAGAAACTGCTTCATCTATGTTCTTCATTTTTTTGTCCTCCATCCCATCCCCATCCTCTACCAGAGAGGAGAAACATTATTCAATAATTATTGTTTGAATAATTACCAGACAGAGAACAACACCAGGAAGGCTGTTCTTTAAAATAAATAAATAAACAAGATTGGCAATTGTAAATTGCTTTGAATAACACCCTGCTCTAAAGTCAGCCTTATTTCTTTAATTTATATCCCAGCTTTCTCCTGGCACAGGATTCAAGGTGGCCCTAGAGAGAGCCAGTGTAGTTCACTGAGCAGAATGTTTGGTTTAGACAGTAAAAATCTAGCTTCAAAATAAAGGCACACAAGGATTCACTCTTTGTGAATTCTGATACCAACGGACCTGATCCACACTCACCAGCCCTACCAGGAGACATGGAGGTATCCATGTCAAATGCCATGTACTAGAGTGTGGTGAGTCATGAGGATGTGTCAGAGGACAAAAGTGCATCCATAACATCTAGACTACATTTAAATTGGACTAAAGGTAAGTTAAGGTATTTTGTACTGCTTTCAAGCCAGCTATCACCAGTCCTATACTTGTGCATTGAGAGGTGACATGATAGCCATCTTTAAATATCTGAAGGGATGTCATGTACAAGATGGAGCAAGTTTATTTTCTCTGGAGACTAGAACACGAAACAATGGATTGAAATTACAAGAAAAGAGATTGTACTTAAACTTTAGGAAGAACCTCCTGACTGTAAGAACTGTTATACAATGAAATAGACTGCCTCCTATTAGTG